CTATATAAGTATCATGCATTTTTAGCCGTTAATTAACGGCTAAATATTTCCGAAGTATATAAGGATACAGCTAAACTTAGCCGTTATTTAACGGCTATTTCCCATTATATAAGTATCATGCATTTTTAGCCGTTAATTAACGGCTAAATATTTCCCACTATATAGGTATCATGCATTTTTAGCCGTTAAATAACGGCTAACTATTTCTCACTATATAAGTATCATGCATTTTTAGCCATTAATTAACGGCTAAATATTTGCCATATATATAAGAATACAGCTGAAACTTAGCCGTTATTTAACGGCTAAATACCTCCAAAACATATAAAGAGACTGCTAAACTTAGCCGTTATAATTATTAAACGGCTAAATATTTCCAATACATATATGGAGAGGAGGTTATTATATATTGTTGAAGAGGAGGTTAATGGCGATGGGGCTAGGCGGTTCATAAACACCCCACGATGGAGCTTAATAAAGGGGTTTAAATGCCCCAACCCAGGACAACACCAAAATTGCATTTCCAGAAAATCACCTGCACATGCCATAATGATAGGAGCCATTATTGTGTGATGAAAACCTGACAGTGAAGCACCCTTCGCAAAACGATCTTAGCCGCTATTTTGTATTATTTACAAATTCCCCACCACCCTGACAGAAAGGCCCGGGGCGGGTGGGAATTGAGTGAGCCGTAGGAGGTACAATTTAGCCGTGACCTACATACAACCACGGTACGGGATAATCAATTTATCCTTTAATGAATGGCTTAATATATTCCACGTGTATAAATGGGCGTTTCAACTTAGCCGTTAATACACCACACCATAGGTTGTTGTTTTCTGAAGTGATCATTTTTAATCAGTCGTCATTTGATACTATACTAAAGGCGCTTCCAAAAGTCAGAACTGCGTGGCCGGCCGGACCATGGCCGGACCAGTCATTTCGACATTGAAATAGGCTTTTTCTAAGAGTTTTTGCTGAAACACCATCTCCTTCGTGTACACTATAAAAGATTAAATCTTAATCATTGATCACGCTGTTTCAATAAATTAAATTTTAATGGGTATTGAGTTGCTAGTTTTACTTGTCCCACCCCTTCTTCCATAATATGAAAAAGTCGATCCATCCAATTTTAAACATAACATTTCTCGCGAGTAGTATACATTTAAGGTAAACGTCTCCTTCAAATAAAATTTGATAACATTGCTGAAGTTTAGGCCTCAACCACAGATGACAATAAAATGCAATTTTAGAGTTATCCCGGGGTCGGGCATTTGCTAGCCTGCGTGGCAGGCGTTTGAAAGGGAAGGGAAAGGGAGTTTTAGGTGCGAGAGAAACTCGAGGGGCGCACCCTCCCTCCCTCCTCGCGCGCCCCTCGCGTTTCCCTCGCGCCCAAAACCCCCTTTCCCTTCCCATTCAAACGCCTGCCACGCAGGCTAGGCATTTGCACACTTATTTCAGCCCCACCGTGAGGTCTTTGTATGAATCCCCGGCCCCCAGCCTCTACCGTAGGGCAATTGCAGTGGTTCTGAAAAAACAAACAAACAAACGCCCCACAAATTCCCGGGGAGGAGGGATAATTTCCATGTCATTCCATGATTCGGCCTTCCATTTCTTTCCAAATTGAGACTTTTCTTTCCTGGCAAAAGCCCCCCTTCTCTACCACCCTTACTAAAAACCAAATAGACCACACAACAAAAGTCGTTTGCCCATGGCCTTCTCCTGGTTTTATTGGCTTCTGACGTTCTTTATCCTTTGATCTTCCCTCACAGCCATTTTGGATGAAGAGACAAAAAAACGGCTGTGAGCGAGAGTAACGTCGGAATCAATTAACGGCTTAAAGAACCAACCGCGGAGCAGTTCTTTTAATGTGGGGTCCGGTGATAAGGGAGGGGCAAATTTCGTCGTTCTCTTTTTGAGGCCTCTCCCCCGCGCGATCCCTATAGTTCGTACATAATAAGCCGTTATTTAACGGCTAAGTTGAACCTCCTAAAGAATATGGCTAAGTTTGACCTCCTTTATGTATTTATGCTGAAAATATTTAGCGGTTAAATAATGGCTAAGTTTGACCTCCCTCAGGTATATATTGGAATTATTTAGCCGTTGATTAACGGCTAAGTTAAACCTCTATAAACAAAAAGGAATTGTTTAGCCGTTAATTAGCGGCTAAGTTTGACCTTCTCTCTAGGCTATCGTGGAATTATTTAGCCGTTAATTAACGGCTAAGTTTAACTTCTTACACATATATAAAATGAAATGTTTAGCCGTTAATTAATGGCTAAGTTTAACCTTCTTTTCATATATATGGGAAATGTTTAGCCGTTAATTAATGGCTAAGTTTAACCTTCTTTCCATATATATGGGAAATGTTTAGCCGTTAATTAATGGCTAAGTTTAACCTTCTTTTCATATATCTAGGAAATGTTTTAGCCATTAATTAATGGCTAAGTTTAACCTTCTTTCCATATATATGGGAAATGTTTAGCCGTTAATTAATGGCTAAGTTTAACCTTCCTTTCATATATATGGGAAATGTTTAGCCCTTAATTAATGGCTAAGTTTAACCTTCCTTTCATATATCTAGGAAATTTTTAGCCGTTAATTAACGGCTAAATGTTGCCTACTCTACATATATTAAAGGAATATTTAGCCGTTGATTAATGGCTAAGTTTAACATTCTTTACATACAAGGAATATTTAGCCGTTAAATAATGGCTAAGTTTAACCTTCTCCTTATGTATAGGAAATGTTTAGCCGTTAATTAATGGCTAAGTTTAACCTTCTTTTCATATATGTATGAAATTTTTAGCCGTTAATTAACGGCTAAATGTTACCTATTATACATATATAAAAGGAATATTTAGCCGTTAAATAATGGCTAAGTTTAACCTTCTCCTTATATATAGGAAATGTTTAGCCGTTAATTAATGGCTAAGTTTAACCTTATTTTCATTTATACAGATGTTTAGCCGTTAATTAATGGCTAAATTTTACCTACTCTACATATATATAGGAGGAATATTTCGCCGTTTTTTAATGGCTAATTTTCACTTACTACAAATATAGAGGAAATGTTTAGCCGTTAATTAATGGCTAAATAATTTCTATAAGAAGGAAAATATTTAGCCGTTAATTAATGGCTAAATTCTCGGTTTGTAGAATATACAAAGTGACTTTATGGCTAAATTTTTCTTATAACTACAGTGTGAATTTATTGCAAATTTTGCATTTATATATACACCCCTTTATAGAGCGATATAAATGACAAACAAGCTATCGTACATGCATAAAGTTTGTACTGCAAAAGTCCGTTTTCTCGACTCTTTTGATATTTTATTTTATTTCTTGCGAAGTGGACCGCCGTACACAACCTAGTTCTATTCAACTTAACTCTCAGCCATATCATAGCGTCACGCGTTGGTTTAGACTTATCTTGTATGACCTGTCTTTTTATAGCCTGTGCCAGGCTCTCAGATAGTATAGTGGGAACGTATTAAAACGAGCAAAGCGAAAATAAGACACGCACGACTTGGGAAAGGGGGCGTTTTTCGCATTTCTTATTACTGACCGACTTTTCCACCACCATCTCGGAGCCTGGAACAGGCTAGTCTTTTTAAAAATTCATTGACCTCTGCGAGACTTGACCGAAACCGGAAACCGCGCATGAAAAGTTTCTGGCACCCAGGGTATCAAACGACTGGTAACAAAGAAAGACTTGGGTCCATTTAAAATTGACAGAGCTGTAGTTGATTCCAATCGATCGGTCAATCTTCCCTTTGATATAAGGAAAATCCTTTGTACTTATCCTCGGAAGAGAAAAGATATAAGAGATCTTAAAATGTTTCAGATCGGCGACCTGTCATCGTTCCTGGCTGGAGGGCTGACTTGCATCCGGCGCGGAGATTTGTTTGTTTCATGGTCGGGTTGTAGAGAAGACCAGACTCCATCATAAAGTATTTTGATGAACAATTCTATTTCAATTAAGTCCAATTTGTATAAATTCACTGCAGATCCTAGAGGCAAAGGCCCGCATTTTTGTTTGACATTGGACAAAATCACTTTCTGCTTGATCGTACAGTAATTCCACAGTCACGATGAAGTTCAGTCGAAGTACTACTCGATAACAGCTTGTCTCAACTCTGAAGCATTTGACACATTTTGTACGTGACAACGTAGAGCCGGTTCTTGTAACATTTGAATAATACGCAATTAAATGGATCTTAAGCTTTTGAATCGCACAGACGCGAAAATATTGACATACAGTTCGCGATATTATTATTTTCCATTGTTGCTCCGTTCGACTTCTGTCAGCGCAAAACCAGCGGGTTGCATATAAATTAGCTTCTCAGGAATATTTAGGCTGTGCACGTGACCAGCCGATGCCAGGGCCTTTTCCCGCCCCACCCATTTAAGGGAAAAGCCCTGGGGACGAGGTTGCACGGAAAGGGAAAAAATGGCCAACAGCTGACTGGCGCGAGAGCAGCTGAGTTTCGTTAAGTCCTCTAAATCAAAAGTGGAAAAACCTCTTCCGTCTCACCATCCTCTTAACGGAGTCGGAATCCGAAAAAGGGTTCTTACCTGTTGAAGAAAATCTAATTCCTTTAATCTAAAAGCCTAATTTAGTTAATCCGTATTCGACACATCCTCTAAGTATATCTGATTATATCACCATGCGGAAACCATATCCGCCTTTTGTTTAGTCTTGTCCATCAAAATTTAGGCTCTGTCCACGCGAATTCGGATATATTTAAAACCAAATATCTTTTTATGCGAATCGGTCCTCCATCCACACGAAACCAGGTGAATCCGCTTAACGAAACCGCATTATTTTGAAACCGCTCTCCAGAGCTGATCAACTGGCCACGTTGACACGAATCCGGATAAAACATATTCGGCTTCAAAAATATTCATATTCGTGCGGACATGGCCCTAGTATATTAGTTACATTCAAACCGTTAACATTAATATGGAATACTAGGTTGAATACATATGCATACCTGAGAGAAGAAAGACTTCCACAGTCTATCCAGTCTTTCCACTTGACTTTGCCGGCCCCTCTGATATGATTGTAGCCTGTCATATTTCTTCTTTTCCTCCTCAGACATCTCCTCCTGGGCAGATTCAAGATCCTTGACTCTATAGACCAGCTCATAATGTTCCGCCCTGAGCCCGTGGTAGGTGAGGTCATGGAAGTCTTTCCTTAAGTCCTCGCTACATTTAACAGCCTCTGCAAGCATACCTAGAGCCCCAGTGTATAGCTCCTGTAACCGCCGGCTCAGTGTTGTCAGCACATCAAGTTTTATTTCTGTTCTTAGTTGATCTTGTTTTACTTCTTTCACTTGCAAAGGGGATGTAACGTATTCGTGAAGCTGTTTATTGGCGTTTCTTAATCGACCCTCTACGCGATGTTCTCTAGCTGCTTGCTCTGTACCCGTCAGGAAATCATCTTCCTAAAACATTAATTAAGGAATGCTTTACTGAAAGACGAAAGAATTAAAGCTGGTCTGATTTGAGTTACAATACTATTTAAACAGGGATACTTAGAATATCATGTTGAATGACACTCCTGTTCTAAGTAAAATTAATCAGTATGAAAACAAAATGATCACTTACTGCCGCTTCGTAAATTATGTAAACATGCATACCAGGGAAAAGAAAGACCTCCACAGTTTATCCAGTCTTTCGACCTGACTTTGCCTGCTTTAGCACTAGCACTAGCATAAATGTATGACTGTTTTGGATTGTTATAGTTTTGTTATAGTTTCCTTTCCTTATTTGTATTTATAGGATTTTGGATACAAAAAGGATTACGCTTCTTCAAACCCATCTTTTAAATATCATGATATAGTTTACAAAAAGGACATTGTTGCACTACGACACCTCTTCTTTTAAATGATTCCCGATCCTGGCGTTTAGTTTGGACTCCTATTTTTTCGAAAATGGAAAAAATGTAATATTTCATGTAAAGAAAAGATAAATGTGCTAGGATTTTTTATTCGCTCTTTATTTTGATAACATTGTTTTTATTTTTCCAGTACCTCTGCTTCCGAGCCGACCAGCCGATTTTCCCTTTCCTAAGTCTTCTTAAAGTTTTTTGGCATGGTTTTGCGGTGCAGGCTGACATGTTTCTATATACACTTCGTATCAAACTTGGTCCGTTCGTTGTTTTGACTTTTTTCCCCGATTTAGGCGATCAAGAAATGTTTTTGGCGATAAATTTCCACGGCAAAATTATTTTACTTTGGACATTGAAGCAATCTGGACCTGAGTAACTTTAAAATGAGAGCAAACTTGATACTAAACTATCACTTTCTGGTGGTTTAATGACCGGCCATTTGGATATGAATAGCAATAGAATATACAATGTGGCACAACCAAATGGTGATAATCAACCAGCTACAAAAATTTGGTCAGAAAATAAATTCCTGGATAATTCCAGAGGAGTTATGGCATGCATGACCACTAAACATGTCCAAAAATAAAATTACTAATCTTGCAACAGCAACAGCAAATGGAGATGCTGTATCTCGTGTTTATGGTGATGGACGCTATTTACAGTTAAGTGGTGGTACATTGACTGGTGCATCATATATACCCAATAAAAAAATATCCGAACTCTAGAATAGAAATAAAGTTTTAAATCATGGGGATCTTAGGAATATATTTTTTCTAAGATTTGGAGGTAGATTAGGTAATAGTTTTATTAAAGGATCTATTTGGAATCTTGCTAATCCTTTACATTCTGATTCAAGAGGAGATTATTATGCTATGCCAAGATTGTATAAGGATTAACGATATGTCAGAAAGTTACAAGCTACTGACATGTCTGACAACAAAATTACTAATCTAGCTGACCCCAATCGGATAAAGATGCTATTTTAAAGCAGTATTTAGAAAAATCTCATGTTAAACCCAGCCATTACAATAATGAATTCAAGTACCTGCTGACTAATAAATTAGGATGGACTGATCTTCAGGCGGATAGTTTTGACATTACTAAAATTGATAATTTAATGCCCCAAGAGGGTAACTACCATCAATACAACCACAAAATTCTATTCACAACTATTATAAAGGATCAGCAACGCGGCTATTCGTATAAAATTGGAATCAATTGTTATCAACTTGATAAGGATAAAGATTATACTCTCAGAATTGAAATCCTCAATTCAGATTACCAATTATGGCGCAAATCAGTTGCTACAATTGATAAAACCACATCGCAAGGGTTAACAATTGCTGGTGTAACGGTATAGATACACAAATAATAGTGGGAGTGTTGCGTACATGTACTGTATCAAAATAATTGTAAACTTAAAAAACTGTATCAAATCTGCTTTACAGTCTGCACCTTAATGTTAATATAACCCCAAGCGGGTATTGATCTCAATAAGTATCCAGCAAATTGAGCAAAAAACTGGATCGTCGCTTAGGGTATTTTCGGAAAAGTGCTATCGATTGCTCCTCAAAAAACTTACGATCACCATACGGCGTTTGATATCAAACCAACAGAAGTTGTTTACAATGTTGATCTGGATATGAACCGACAGAAAATATTAATTATTGCTCCCGATAAAACTCGCAATAATAGCGCCGCTACTGTGAAGATGGTCAAAGATTTGGAGGCAAAATTGGGCCCTCATACAAAAAATAATGCGCAAAGGGAAAAATTTGAGGAATTTTAGCGTTGCTCCCACGCGCGCGAACAGAGCCCAATACCCATAGACTATGGTCAACCTCTTTTCCCTTGGTTGTCACGTGATTGACCGAGCGTACGTACGTACGTACGTCCGTACGCGTCTAAGGATTGTACGGGTGGGGTAGGGGAGACTATCAAAAGGAAGGGAGGGGTGTCTCAGGCGTGTCTTGCCAAGTCCACATCTTTTACATTGGACATTCACAAAATGGTCAATTGACAGCTGTCAAAACAGGATAGCCACTGACAAGTATCCCATGACCATATCGCGGGCTCATGAGTCAACTCATTGAGGTGACGTGATTTATTTGGAAGCTGTCCGCTGACCAGTTAATTATTTTATTAGATCGCGATCAATGTTCAGTCTCATACTTTCTAGCTAGTTTGGGATCGGAGCACAGGAAAACTGATACACGTCAATGTTGTGATCCATTGACAGCTGTCAAAACAAGGTATCCGCTAACCAGTATCACTTGACTGTATCGAGGGCTCAGGTGTCGACCCATCGAGGTCAAGTGTTTTTTTGAAGTTATCCGCTGACAAGGTACTGGTTTTCAAATGATCGCAGGCTCAAGTTTAATTTTTTTTAAATTCATATGAAATATGTTGTGTTTATGTACCGAACAATTAAAATTTTGATTCAAACTGACCTCGAACGCGAAAATTCAGCCAGCTGCTACAGGCAGGGAAGACAGTTGCTTTTGACTTGTCTCGCCATGTTCACGCGTTGGTCACGCTCTACGTCCAATTTTTATGCTCTGATTGGTCAAAATTTGACAGGTGAGTTCATGCGGAAAATTTATGCAGCATCTTGAATCTTGTTTACTTTGACAGCTGAAGCTGACAGAGTTTTGTGTCAACTTGTGATGTTTTTAACTTTCTTTTTCCACTGGATGTACAAAATGAAATTCAACTGCTATCAGGAGTCTTCTGTTATTCATGGCTAGTTTTTTTATTGGGTTTTTGGCTGAGTCAAAGTCGGAAATCCGATTTCGGATGCATCGTTTTCGTTTTCATCTTGCTTAATGCGTAAGAGGGTTGCAAAGTCTGAAGCGATACTGGCCTTACTTGAAACCTTTCAGGAGCTGCATCTCGAATGGTAAGCCAAAGTAATTATTGTATTTGATGTTTGTTTTTTATTCCTAATTTAATGAAGTCGAGCGTAGTTTATGCGGCTATTTTGTTTACGCACGTTTGTAAGATTTGAGACAATGATCTGACCGAGTATCAGGTTTGTTATAAGCTTACAGATCTTTAAAAAGCCTTTAGACATTTTCTCACCGCAAATAGAAAGAAAACGTTTCAAAGAATATTTAGTTATAACTCTGGCTATAAAAGAAAGGTTTGAGCGATTTTCTTGCCTCGAGTTCGTCTTTGAAAAAAGCAAATACCGGGAAGCCGGCTTAAAACATAAACTTCAGCTTTAAGCTCGAAGACTCAGGATTTTTAGAGACACTTTAATACCGGCGGGGCTAAAGTGCAGGTCACAGGTCACAGGTCAGGTCACAGGTTACAGGCCACAGGCCACAGGTCAGGTTACAGGTCAGGTTACAGGCCACAGGTCACAGGTCACAGGTCAGCTCACAGGTCACACAAAAAAAAACAATAGGACACTGGACAAAACTGTTCTGGACTGACGTTTTACTATACAAAAATAAAATAAGCCAAGGAACCTTGATGATATTTTTGTCCTTTTAACAATATTAAATTCCGCCCATGGAATAATATTTTCATGCCGATCATACAGCATATCCAAACTTCGTAACGAAATCACAAAGGTGTGCAAAATCATGTGATTTGTACGAAAAACAAATCACATGTTTTTCACTGAAAACGAAGTGTTGTCGTGATATTAGAGTGTCATCTCCAAATAAGCCGTGCAGCCAAGATAACTTGGAGCGAGTCATTGAAATGCAGCACTGTAATCCTTTGATACATCAGCCGTTTACAGAGTCAAGGATTCAAGTTGTAATGGCGGAATGCTCTCACCTAAGGCCAACGAGGCAAATACAACAGAGGTTTTTCAAGCTGTTGTGCAACAGAACGTGAGAAAATGGCAAGCTCTTGGGAGACGAGCCGAGAAATATGGTCCAGCAACTATTCGAGAGGCCCAAATAGCAGTTTCTGAAGTTCTTAACCGACTACACTTTAACACAGCAGTATTTTGTGACTGGTACGAAGCGCGAGCAACAGGCCGCCATTTTCAAAAGAGATGGAAGACGGATCTAGTGGCAAGAAGAGTTTAGGACGAGGAAAGTCGGACGAAAATTGCCGTATTTCAGTGGTCTAATAAGTTTTAGACTGTCCTTAAGTTTTTCTTCCGTTTTCCCGTCGAATTCTTTTAAAAACATCCACAAACACGTCATGATATTCTTAACGCAACAACCCCTCGTTTTGAGATTCGTTTTTTTCTTACAAATCACGTGATTTTGCGTACCTTTGTCATTTCGTTACCAACTTTGGTTACGCTGTAACGCAAGTCCTCCTTGCGTGATCAACATGAATATATTTTCTCATGTCTGGGATTTGGTAAAGTTCAGAACAGAAAAAATATAATTGAGGTTCCTTGGCTTGTTTTATTTTTGTATAATAAAATGTCAATCAAGAACAGTTTTGTCCAGTGTCCTATTGTTTTTGTCTGTGACCTGTGATCTGACCTGTGACCTGTGGTCTGACCTGTGACTTGGCCTGTGGCCTGTGACCTGTAACCTGACCTGTGACCTGACCTGTGAC